GGGAGGGAGAATGAACAATGACGTGAGACAGAAATATCATTTGGTTGCCTCCCATATATGCCCCCACCAGGGATAAAAACCCACAAGCTAGGTATGTGCCCTGACCAGGAATCGAACCCACAACACGTTTGGTGTATGAGATGATGCTCCAACCAACTGAGCAACCCAGCTAGGGTAACCTATAGATTTAATATAATTCTCATCAAAATCTCAGCTAGGTATTTTGTAGACAAAGACAAGCTTATTCTAAAATTTATATGGAAAGGCAAAGCAAATAAATTAACTGAAACAATCTCAACAAAGAAGAGTAAAGTAAGAGAAATCACTCTACCCATTTTCAACACATATCATAGAGCTTTAATAATCAACACAGTGTGGTACTGGTGGAGGAACAGACACAGAGGTCAATGGAACAGAACAGAGAACCCAGAAATAGACCGCAATACAGAGCATTCGATTTCAACATACAGAAAACCTTTTACAAACTGAGAGGATTACAGTCAGAAGAAAAATAGGCAAAGTTTATTACTTATTTCATATAAGAAATAAAAATGGCGCCCTAGCTGGTTTTGCCCAGTGGTTAGAGCATCGGCCTGGGGACTGAGAAGTCTCTCGCTGGATTCTGGGCAAGGGCACGTACATCAGTCGAAGGCTTGATCCTGGTCTGGGCTTGCAAGGGAGGCAACCAATCAATGTGTCTCTTTCACATCGATGTTTCTCTCTCTCTCTTCCCCCCTCCTCCCTTAAAAGCAATGGAAAAAATATACTCAGGTGAGGGTTAAAAAAATAAATAAAAATGGCTAATGTTTATTATAAGATGTTCAAATTCAACATATAAATTAAAACAAGATGTCATTTGATACCCACTAGACTGGTCTACATTTAAAATCTGATAATATCCTCAAATGTTAGTGAGGATGTGAGGAAACAGGACTTTTCATGCACTGCTAAGAGATATTTGGAAATCTCTAGTAAAGTTAAAGATGTTTGTGACCCTTAGACTCAGCATTTCTACTTCTAAGTATATATGCTAGGGAAGCAGCTCCCAAAATGTGGTCTGTGAACCCCTGGTGGTACCTGAGCCCCTTTCATAAGTCTGAGGTGAAAACCATTTCCATAAGAGCACTAAGAAGTTATCTGCCTTGTCCACCATGTGGGCATCTGCACTGAGAGTGCAGAAGCGACAGTGGGTACAACTGCTGGTGCCTCAGCACAAAACAAAGCAGTGGCACCAAACCACACCAGTGGTCACTCTATTCATCATCACCACACCATCACAGTTAAAAACAGGTTTCACGTAAGTATGCCCTTGATTAAGAATTAATTTTAACTCTCAACCCTTAACTCATTTTTTAAATCCTGTGTATGAAGCAGTCTGCTGCAGAATGAAACACAAAGGCTGTCTCAAGAAGCCCTCAGGTGACTGAGTTGTGTGCTGAACTAGCCACTTTTTTCATGGAACACCACTTTAAAGTAGGACTGGCAAACTGGTCATTCAGACTTGGGTATCTGACACATCCTGAACATCAATGATGTGAGCCTATCCCTTCAAGGAAAAAACTGGCAGGATTCATTGCCAATGATAACATTTAAGATAACATTTAAGCTTTCAGGTGCAAGTTAAAGTTTGGAAAAACCAGTAGCCTCAACCAAGAGCTATATTTTATACTTTTCTGATGATGACAAAGTTTGTAATATCAATGATTGTGATTTTCTTATATTATATAATGAAACATCAATATTTGGAAGATCTATGTAACTCAGTGAACTAATATTTTCCAAATGATTGATAATATGTTGCAAACTCACTGGTAAAAGAATCATTCAAAAAACAAGATAGAGCCCTGGCTAGTGTTGCTCAGTGGTTAGAGTTCAGCCCAAGAACTGAAGGGTCATGGGTTCAATTCCCGGTAAAGGGCACGCACCTCGGTTGCAGGTTGGATTCCCTGCCCCAGTTGGGGCGTGTGTGGGAGGCAACCAGTCGATGTGTTTCTCTCACATTGATGTGTCTATGTCTGTCTGTCTGTCTGTCTCTCTCTCTCTCTCCTTCTCCCTTCCACTCTTAAAAAATCAATGGAAAAAATATCCTTGGGTGAGGATTATGTTATTAACAAAAGCCAAGACAGACCAATGGATTTTAATCTAACAGTATTAAAAGTTCATTAATATGATTTCAGATACATAATATCCACAATTATCTGAAAAGACTATTAAAATACTCATTCTTTTCCATATCTCCAATACTCTGTGTGAAGGATTTTTTTCATATACTTCAACCGAAACAATGTCACAATAAATCTGCATGCAGAAGATGTGAGAACCCAGTTGTCTTCTATTAAGTCAGACATTTAAGAGACTTGCAAAAATATAAAACATATCATTCTTTTCTCTAATTTTGTTTCTTTGGAAAAGTTTTTTATACAAAATATGTCATTTAGGTAAAATGTAATGGGTTTACAATTGTTATATGGTTATTAAATACATATATTTTCCAATTATTTCTTCTTTTTCTTTTTTTAACTGAGATATAATTGACATAACATTATATTAGTTTCATGTGAACAATATGACTTGATATATGTATATATTGTGAAATGATCACAATAAGTCTACTTAACATCCTTTATCTCATATTTACAAGTTTTTATTTCTTGTAATGAGAACTTCTAAGATCTCTCTCAGCAACTTTCAAATATACAATACAGTATTATTAACTATAGTCACCATGCTGTACATTACATCCTCATGATTCACTTATTTTATAACTGGAAGTTTATACCTCTAACTGCTTTAGCCCATTTCGTCCTCCAATCATCCCCCTTCCCACCTCTGACAGCCACCAATCTGTTATCTGTATCTATGGGACTGTTCTTGTTTTTAAAAGATTCCGCATATAAGTGAGATTATATGGTATTGGGCTTTGTCTGACCTAAAAAATATTGTAAAATTTGTTTTAATTTTGAATACAGTAAATATCTGTAGATATAATCCACAAAAATAAAAAGGTCTATGGGGTCCTCAATAATTTATTTTTAAAAATTTTTTAAAAATATGTCTTTATTGATTTCAGAGAGAGGAAGGGTGAGAGAGAGAGAGACAGAAATATCCATGATGAGAGAGTCATTGATCGGTTGCCTCCTGCAGGCCCCCTGCTGGGGATAGCGCCCGCAACCCAGGCATGTGCCCTGATGGGGAATTTAACCTTGATCTCCTGGATCATAGGTCAATGCTCAACTGCTGAGCCACACCAGCCAGGCAATAATTCTTAAAAGAGCGAAGGAGTCCTAATATAAAAAACTTTTGAGAACTGCTGCCCTGGAGAAACTTACACAAGTGTATAAAGATTTGTACACAGAGATATCCACTCCAGCACTGTTTTAGAAATCAAAGTTAAAAACAAAGACTGCTCAACTATTTTTCAGAAATGTACTCTGAATTCACTCTGTCTGCTCCCACCAACACTGCCCTAATTTGGCCATAATTTTGCATCCAGACAATGCCTGACAATGCTGAAAATACACTTCCAGCTCAATTCTCATGACTAAATAGTGAATGGACTTCTACAGTACCTTCTAACTGACCTCCTCGCTCCTTTCTCTCCTCCAGGTACTTACAAGTTTAAATCCCAACTTCTCAACCCCACCTCACTTCAACTAAAAGAGCTTCTAAGTGAAACAGCATTTGTACAACAAATTCTAAGCTTTTGAAAAAATGGTTTAAAAATCACTATGTTAAACTCATCTAACGAATAATCAGAAAATCTAAACTGGTACTTTTCCTTCCTTCCTCTGAACAAGGAGGGTTAAGTGGCTGAATCTCAACCAAAGGCAGTTCAGTTCCAGTTGTACAAAACCAAAGGAATATTAAACTTTGGAATGTATCTACTTCAAAGGAAGTCATCCAAATGGGCTTTTTTGCAAAACGAGAAAAGCAATTAGTAACACAGGTAGCAACAGAAAAGTATAGTGATTTCTCATTCACAAGTAGTAAAAAGTGTGTTTTTATCCAGGAGTGGAAACTGAAAGAAGAAAACCTGGTTCTAACAGGGTGAGCAGAAATCTGGTATAGAAGCGGTAAGTCATGGAGGAAGAGGAAAGAGATGGCACTGTATGATCTTTCTGGAAAACAGACTCAGTGGCACAGTATTTTCATACTTCTCTAAAATATCGTATCACCTTATCTTTACCTCCACTACAAATGTGTCAATAATGTGCTCCTTGGGGAGGAACCAGTGGGCTACTTCCTCTTCATCCATCACCGGGGCGAGATGAAACTGCTTCAGGTAACTGTTGGTTAATTCACGAACTGCTTTGATATCTTTTGGTTCCATTGGTCTCAAGCCTGAAGTCTTTGTCACCTTGTTAGAGTAAAAACAAAACAAAATGGGAAGTTTAAATACAGAGGGGTAAAAAGTACTTTGCACTAAAGTGTGGTCTGCACACCAGCTGTATCAGCGTCACAGGGAAGCATGTTAGAACTGCAGAATCTTAGCCACTCCAGCCCTCTGACTTACCAAGTCAGAATCTACAACTTAGCAAGATTCCCTGGTGATTCATATACACACTAAACTTTGAGAAGCACTGAGTAAGAATATATGGTAGACAATGTGTTGTATCTTCTCTCTGTGTGCCAGGTCTTTGGTCAATATTGCCCATGACCCAGACAAAATCAAAGGAACACTCCAAGTTGATGCATATGCCAATGCTAAGAATTTTAACACCCTACACCACAGGGCAGAGCAACCTTAACATGTGTTCTGGAGTATTGTGCTTTAAAACTGCCTTGTCTGACCTTCTGAACACACAGCTGAAAAGAGTTGAGAAAAGGGTGTATTTTGTTCTCATGAGCAGCAAAAATGAAATCATATGTATCCGAATGGGAAGGCAAGTGTTTTAATAGCCAAGATTTTTCTAAAGGCAAATAAATGTCTGGCTGCCAAGCACTGGCCCTGGCATCTCATGCCGTCTTTTGATTAATGGTGATCAGAACAGGCATTTGAAACCATTCTTCCAAAGAGTCACAATTTTTCCATTAGGTCATAGGAATAAACCTAAAGGTCAGGACATTTGGATTTGTTGAACTTCCTGTCCCAAAAGAGCTCAATACATCACTTAGCTCTCTAGGAACTGTCATGACACCAGGACACTTGTGCCTGGAAGTCAGAAAACCCACTCCATTTGCCAGTTTGTACAAACAAAACACTAAACAGTTATAAATGCAGTTTCATTTTTGCAGTTAACTTGATTTTTTTTCCTTGAAGAAATAGTGGATACATTTAAGCAATAACTTGTATTGCTACTTTACCTTTTCTGACTTAATTAATTCTAAATATATTAAAATTAAAAGCTGCCTCTAAAATTAGATCGGTAGTACGGCAGAAGCCCAAGGTGGAAAATAGGTTTTCACCTGCGTGTGGCTCTGCTTGATGCTAGTAGCTGTGTTCAGGTTTCTAAGGTTCTGTGACAAAGAATGCCAATTGATTATTGATTAGTGGGGGAAGGAGATGGCAGATGCATTTCTTGTATTTATAGACCCAATAATTCTTCACTGAGTATTTACTATGTACGACTCAGTTGTGATTTGCGTAATTTATAAAGACATAGTAATGCAGCTAAAATAGTTTAATAGTAAAAACTGAGAGAATTTAAGTCCTTAACATTTAATAGAGAAGTTGTACTTATAGCTTTTGTGAATCTCAAAGCCAAAGGACCAGAAATCTCCAGGTCCTGGTTTCCATCCTAGGCTAACACTTCAGGCAAGCAGGGCAGTAACAGTTCTGGATATGTGCTTGAATGAATTCCTATATTTTATATCACAATCATTTATAAGGTGAAGTGAAGGCTACAGATATGGGAAAAAAGTCACTGTCAGCTATGAAAAGATGACACTTCTGTGGCCTGGCATTTATATGCAAGCCAGGCGTGAAATTACATTTTTCTTTTGTTTCCCCTGAGCCAATTTTAGCATTGGTAGCATTTTTAAACTGCAATTCATGGGAAGAGGGAACCTATGTGTTTCCAAATACTATTAAATGTAACAAATATATATTTCTAAATGCTAGTCACAGGAGCAAAACCATTATAGGATGCAAACTGCAGTCATTAAAAAAGATTATTGTCTGCTATGAGGACGACCTTGGAATTTTTTCTCAATATTAGATGTTTTTCTTTTGTTACTGGTTCAGTAACAATCAACAATATCAAGCAATAGATTAATCAATGAAAGCAAAAGGACATATGATATGTTAATAGAAAATATTCAGAAATGAAGAAAAGGCTTGCCAACTCCTTCCTAAAGCAAAATATTCTTCTGCAGCACAGTTCTCATGCATTCAATATTCACACTGCGAAATCGCCAAAATCAACATCCTGAAAGCAGCTGTCAGCCTCCCCTTCATGCTCTGAAAGATTATTGAGTACTCCCACAGAGCTTTGCTAATGTGGTATATCCATCCATATTTGTCATGTTAGAAGTTAAATTCGAAGTTTTAAAACAAAAGAATATATAAGCACACATTTCATATAGCCTCTGGAAGACTTCATAGTACACTTGTAAAATAATGAAAGTAAAAAATGCAAATTATGTTTTAGTATTATTATAAAAAAGTTTTGGCTTCATGGACCCCCTGAAAGGGTCTCAGGGAATTCGAGAGGCCCTGGGTTGCACTGTGAGAGCTGCTACCTCAAGTCTCTGAAGGTCAGAAAATTAAGTATTAGAATGTAGATGAGGAACGCTCAGTGAAGCAGTATGTCTGGGCAAAGAGACAGGAGAGAGTATATAAACTTAGCAATTTATAAGCACTTCGAGTTTTCACAGAAGCAGTAAAGCAGAACAGAACAGACTATGTCAGCTATAAAAAATATAAGGTCCTAGAAAATGGGGCGGTGGGGGGCGTATTTACTTTTGCTGACCAACAATGGCTTGTGTATCTCAGGGCCTAAACTTGCTTCTTTATGACATTATGAAGACACATACTCTTCAAAAAATTCTAGAGAAGCATGAAATAAATTTTAAAATATAAAATAGAAACACTCGAATTACAGCTGTTGTCTTCAGGAAGAGATGTGAAGAACATAAAGCTTAGATAAAAATGGTAACTTTGGCATAATCTGCAAGAGTGAAGTGGTAATGTTTTCTGAGTGTTTAATAAAAAGCAAAAAATATTTTCCAGTAACTGAGAAAATCTTAAATTTCATAAGCAAACTCTATATCTCAACTGGAATTACTTTCCCAAGGCCCAACTACTGTGCATTACTCATTGGACTCTATGTATACTGAAGTGTGTGTAACATCTGCTTATAAGGGCATAAGGGAAGAAGGCTCAGAGTTGATGAAAAAGCAGCAGTAGTGTTGTTATGTCAAACTATGTGGCATGAATATTTTAGAGTCAAGATTCCAGGGTAGAGATGTAAGCAATGATTATGGTTATTTATGTGATTTAAAAAAGGAGCAGTAGAACACTAAACACTAAAAAAAATCATCTACTGCTAATCAATCTAGAACATCTCATGCATCTTCGCACGTCTTCACAAGCGTGTCCTTGCAACACAGCAGAAACACTGGGGGATTGATCTGACTCCTGCTCTTTATCTGATTCAAAAAAGATCTGACCCAAAAAATCCAACTTTGTTTGGAAATGCTCAACACCAAATTAAAAACAAACCAATGTTTAGAGGGTAGAGAAACTGATTACTCTTGAAAAAACCTTAGTATTTTCAGTAGCAGTAACTAATGGCATAGGCTCCTGGGTAGTTCTGTACTGACTTTAAACCTCTGGGCAAATGAGTGGTGTTTCCAATGTCCTCTTCTGCGAAATGGGGAAAGTGACCTGCCTACCTATGCTTGTTACGAATAATAAATGAGACTACACATGCACAATGTCTAGAATGATGCTGGCCATAATGAATGTCAACTCATATTCAGAAGTCCACGAGAAAGATACAGAGCAGCACCATAAGCAGGAACAGTAATAATGAATCAGAAAATAAGACATACTCAGAGCAAAAGATGCATTCAATGAGGTTCTTCTTTTAGACTTAATGATACAAATCTGCTCTTAAATGATGTGACTTCTATTGGTGGTAGCATCCATCTGGAGAGGAGGTGGCGGTCTGGTGCATGCTACATTGTCCAGCTTCTAACTCAAGAGACTGCTGTTGGCAACTTCCAATTTTCCAATATCTGTACTTTTATCTCTTCTCTTTTTTTTCATTTATTTACTCTTTATCTTTCTTCCCTTCTCTATGACTGGAACATGCTAGTGAGAGCTGTTTGGACTTTGACAATTGTCCTTTCCTGTTTTAACCTATGCTCTAATGACTGCACAGTAAGACACCTGGTGGGATTGAGTCATGATGCCCCCACAAGAGGTGTGCTAGAGTCAATGGCAGAAACTAAGGGATCTAACAGGCAAAACAAGGAAACCTGTTCCTTCCTCCCCAGGTTGAGTGCACCCTCCTTCATGTCACCGCGGTTTTTCTTTCCATCTGCTCTGATCTACGTTGCCCCTGCCTCCTTGGCCACACAGAGAGGCAGTGAGCTCGTTAGTTTGAGTCCCCACTTCTGTAACAACAGCTAAGACAGAGGGAAGAACATGCCTTCAGATCCTCCTGCCAGGCTGCAAAGCCCAACTGGCCAAAAGACAAAAGGAACTGGAGTGTGCTGTCCCCAAAACGGCCACAGGTGAGGTCCTCACCATATTCAAGAGGAACAATGCTACATTCTACATGACGCCCTCAACCAAGGTAAAAAATTGACTAAACTACTTTGTAAATACCCCTAAAATAGAATAACTCTGAAGAAATCAAAACTTCAAACAGAAGATCCCATCTGTGCAGATGGATTCTAGGATGGCCTCCTGGTGTTCACATCCTTGTGGTCCACTCCTCTCAAGCGTGGGTAGGCTCTATGACTCGTGTCTAACCAGTGAAATATGGCAATGGTGACCGGATGTCACTTTTGTGAACTGGGAGTAAGGTTCTACCATCCATCTGCTCGGAGAGTCTCTCTATGGACTGTCCGCACAGGCTCTGATGAAGCAGCTGCCATGTTGTAAGCTGCCCTGTGGAGAATCTTGTGCAGCAAAGAACTGAGGGGGACTTGGGGTGACAGCCAGCAAGGAACTGAGGCCCTCCATCCACCCGCCCGCAAGGAACTCAAGCCTGACAATGCCCATGGGAGCTTGGAAGTGGATCCATCCCTGCCAAGTTTCCAGGTGAGGCCTGGATGACACCTTGATGGCAGCTTCATGAGAGATCCTGAGGCAGAGGCCTCAGCTAGCTGGGCCTTCATTCCTGACCCACAGAACCTGGGAGACAGTAAATGTGTTGTTTTAAGTTGCTACATTTGTACTCATTTGCTACACAGCAATATATAATGAATACACCATCCAAGTCAAGACTGGTAAGCACATTTAAATTTTTACAATAGAATATTACTCAGCAATAAAAAAGAATGAAATCTTGCCATTTGCAACAACATGGATGGACCAAGAGAGTATTATGGTAAGTGAAATAGTTAGAGAAAGACAATTACTGTATGATTTCACTTATATGTGGAATCTAAAAAAACAACAGAAACAAAGAAAACAAAACAGACCCAGAGATATAGAAATAAGCTGATGGTTGCCAAAGGGGAGGGTGTTGAGGAATGGGTGAAATAAAAATTTTTTAAAAATAAAAACAAATACATTTCCCCCTATTAATATAGAGCAATTTTTCATATTGGGAATTTGCTAGCTTAAAAATAATTTATTAAGACATTATTTCTTCTTCCAGGTCTCTCCTCTAAACCTTATACCTTAGTTCCACTGAGTTAAGATTTCATCAGAAGCCTGAAACTCTTCCCTCTTACTTAACAGGCCACAAATACTCAAAATCTCAAAACTTACATGTCCTGACTTCAATCTCATCCAACAACAAACTGAAGAACTTAAAAAGACTTAAAAAAACAAACAAACTGGTATTTCCAAATGAAATCCCTTTCTTTTCCTAGCCCCTGAGTTCTATGCAGACCTTTCAGCTACCTATTCATATCCTCAGATATGTAAGCCAGTTTTTAAGACTCCTGCAAATAATTATTTTCTACATTAAAAGCTTCAGTAGTTACAGTCTTGAAAAACTGCAAATCGTTTTTACTTACATCTGGAAGTCTGTACAGCTTCATTGTTCTCTGTAAAGTCATATTTCTACTCAAGTGAGAAAATTTCACTTCTACCAATTTTCTGGGGTTTAGTGATCGATGCCAGTATCTGGAATACAATAAAGGTTTGAAAATCGGACTGATTTCTAGCTCTCCAAGTTTTTACTCTGTCTCAGCTCAGCTGTGGTAGAACATCTAATGAATACTTATGTTGTGTCTGGTACAATGCTGGATGCTGGCCCTCTTCCAATGCAATTACTTTATCAGTCATTTTTTACCTCTAAAATATGTCCTGCATTCCTAGTTATGTTCCTTTGTAGTTTGTGATCTTTCATCTCTTTCAGTATAGGGGTATCTTAAAATTGTAAAAGTCATATTAATAGCTACCAGTTTGCAAGTGTTTAATAACCATCACTGATTCTACAGGATGCAAACCAAAGAGTTTAAAACCCTGAAAATATCCCCCCTAAATTAGTAGAGCCTTCATATTTATATAACAAACACCAAAGAAAACATTTTTTTTCCTTTTCTTTTTAAAATTGATTTTAGAGAGAGAGGAAAGGAGAGAGAGAAACACTGATCAGTTGCCTCCCATATGCACCCTGACCAGGGACTGAACCCACAACCCGGACATGGGACCTGACAGGGAATTGAACCTTGATCTCCTGGATCATAGGTTGATGCTCAACCGTTGGGCCACGCCAGCTGGGCAATAAAGACATATTTTTTTAAAAAAATAGTGGAGGGAGAGAAACTCTGATTCTTCACACATGAGTCAAGTCACAATCTGATATACAATTTTCTTCCTGGATTAACCTCTGAAAGCTTGATAAGAGCAGATAGAGTCATAAAAACAGAGCTTAAGCCTCTTCTTCTTAGTAAACAGGTATGTCTGGGCTTTTAAACTGATGTTTACCAAGCTTTTGGAACAGCGCTGCAGAGCACGGTATAAGACAATGTTAGAGGAGGAAAGAAAATGGTACCACCTGGGTATTTCCACATCACGATGCCCTGAGTTTCCCCAAAGTAGAGACACCACTAGTCTTTCACATGGAAGAGACACTGAAATACAGCTCCAGATCACTGGCATACAAGTGGCTGTATGGTAACTGGGAAGAAGACTGGGCTCAGGGGTTCTTGTTTCTGTCTCCCTCTTTGCTACCAACCAACCACATGATCACAGGTAAGTCAAAAGCCGTCTGAGCAACACGTGAGGAGAATAACACTTCTAGCAGCAGAGCAGGGAGGTTCAATGCTCAGGTTCAGGTAAGATGCAAGGTAAGTGTGTCGCCATTACCTGCATGTGGCCACTGGCTTAGGAAGAACCACGCCAGCGGTATAAACGGCCTGGAAAATCCCTTCCAGGTTCACTCTTCTGGTTATTTCTCTAATTAACACTGGGGCTACCCGTTTTGATCTCAATTTCTTATGAACACAAAGGAAGTTGATTTCGACCATCTTCTTCACACTAAGAAACAAAGAGGTAAAAATCAGAAAACATTTTTAAAAATGAAAACATTTTTAAAAATAAGACACCTATAAAATTTCAAAGAACAAAAAATGGAAAGACCTCCATAAATATAATATTAAAGAAAAATAATCTTTCCTCCAGACATTTCACAAGTTCAGATCAATACACTATTTCCCATACACCCCTACCAAAATTATAACTCTAGACCATGGAGATAGATGCAAACCCCTTATTCTAAATAAATTTTAAGACTTTAGTAATAAGTTTTCTGTTTAGAAATGGACCCGAGGTGCCTCAGTTTCTCTATGTGTTTTTCCTGTAATGTATACAGTTATGGCAATAACTGGGTCACTCTCACGCAGAATCTGACAAGATATTGCTCTGGATATAATGCAGTCCCCAGGACTCCTGAGAAGTGCCTCGACCAGACCAGACCTGGTGCTGTTCTGAGCTACAATCAACCTAGAGCTTCAAAGCCAGTTCCCTGCTCTGGTTGCAGGTATGCAGGCGTTTCATTCAGCATGCAATATTCCTTGGTAACAAACATTTTCCAGCAGTAAATAACCCACTATATTGAAAGGTAAACAGGCCTATTATGCATTAGATCTTTCACTTTTACAGCTTTGACTTTCTAGACTGAAGACCCAGAGCAAAAATGCAACAAACACTTATCCTATGAAATAGACGGAGTTTTAAAAATCTCTCCTAAAACTTTCTAAAGTAATTTCCCCCAGAAACATTTCTGAAATACCTATTTAGAGCTTTGCTTATTCAGCTATAGACATACATACACGTATATGTACATACATATATGTACACAATACACAAAACATATCCGTGCGTGCATGTATGAGACTGAGAGGTAGAGGGAGATAAAGAGTTGTCCCTTTTTGTTGTTCACAGATCAATGTTTCAAAAAATTAAGAGACTTTATTTTTCAGAGCAGTATTAAGTTCACAGCAAAACTGAGCAGAATGTAGTTTCATATATGCCTGCCCCCACACACTACCTGCCCTCTATCCACTGCCTCCATTAAGTCACTTTTAAAAGCCTCTTATAATTGCAATTCTTGAAAAAGCAACACATCAAAACTGGCATGGGCAAGCTTTAATATGTACCTGTCGTATATCCGAATGTTTGCTGGGATGGCACTTATGAACCCTACCAGTTTTTTGTTTGAAGACACTCTAACTCCACAGTGCCACTGAAGAAGCCAGCCCGGGGGACGCAGAGCCCTGAAGTCAACGTAGGCAAGGAAAACACGCCAGTTAGTGTCTAAGAATACAGGGCCAGACAGAGGTGCGCTAGCCCACCGCCCCGCCTCGGCCCGCCCGGCCCGGGAGACCAGCGAGACTCACCACAGCAGGAACGCGGGCGAGTAGTCAAACCGGAACATGTTGTCGTCGTCCTCTACGTAATTCTCGTTTAACAAGGTGTACAACTCCTTGAGCTACAAGACCAAACAGGTGTCGTGTCTATGGTGCTCAGAGCCCACTCAGGAGCAATCCACGTGAACACAGGTGTTGAATTTAAGAGTTTTACTCACCACTTCAGCATTACCCAAATCTAAAGTGTCCCACATAAAACCCTGTGGCAAGGAATATGGTTCTTGACGCACGTTGTCTTTATCTGCTTCGATTGCACCATGGGATGTTATCACTTCATCTGGAGAGGGAGAGAAAGTAAGAGAAAAAGAGGGAATATTCAATTACAAAGCATTCCAATCACCCAAAATGGTCCGTTACATAAAATAAAATCATATAATTGGGTTTAATATAATCATTAATACACTATTATTTCAGCCACCTCTAGAATGAAGAAGGGCAGCTAGGCAGGGGTGGAGAGTAACTGCTATTTCACTACTGAAAGGAGAAGTCCTCTGTCAGGCAATGGCCATGTGTACAATGAAATGTGGTGATTTTTCAGTCTCAACCCCAAGATTATAGATTAATTGTACAGCACCATGGGAGACAACGGAGGTTTGATGACAGACTTACAGATGTTCCCTTTTTATCATGCGCTTCAACTAACCTGGGGGTGGGAGTGTGGTGGGGTTGGGAGAGAAGAGCTACAGAGACCTCTGACTCCTGATAAAAATCTAAAATTAATTTCAGAACTGTTTATGTCTCTCCACCTGGGTTGCTAGCAGTGCACTTCAAGTCATAAATGTCTCTAGCAATTTCCATAAAGGTCTTTTCCAGTTTCTTCTCTGCAGTTTCCCAATGTGGCTAGGATAAAACCCAGACTCCTGAGCATGCCACTGTCTGCCTGGCCACCCTGGGCACATCCTCCCAGCCCAGCTCCCCAGGCTTAGCCACACTGACCGCCCTCATGCTGGCTACAGCTCAGAGCCCTCGCAAGGCCCTACTCATGCTCTTCATGGGGGTGGCCACTTGAATTTTTTCAGATATAAGTTTACACATAGCTTCCTCATGGCCTCTCCCCCTGACTAAAGCTTGTTCCTACCTGGAGTATATCCTCTCTTCCAACCCCCACCTGGCCACCACTTATCCTATTTTCATGCCACTATTTCCCCAGTATGTACCCCAGTGCCTGGCATTTAATAACAGACACTCAACAAATATCTGCTAAATATAATTAAAGCCATAATAAAAGAAGGAAATCATGCCATTTGGACAACATGGATGGACCTTGAAGGCATTATGCTAAGTAAAAAAGGTCAGACAGAGAAAGACAAATACCATATGATTTCACTTATATATGGAATCTTAAAAATAAAAAGAACTCAGATACAGAAAACAGATTGGTGGTTGTCAGAGGCAGGAGGTGGAGGGTGTGGAAGTGGGTCAAAAGGTACAAACTTCCAGTTATCTAGATAAGTAAGTCCTGTAATGTATAGCATGGTGACTATAATTAATAATACTGTATTGCATATTTGAAAGTGTGCCAAGAGAATAAATCTTAAAATTTCCCGTTACAAAAAAATTCTGTAACTATGTGTGGTGATGGATGTCAACTAGACTTATGATGGTGATCATTTTGCAATACAGACATGTATTGAATCATTATGACATATACATGAAACTAGTATAATGTTGTATATCAATCATACCTCAATTAAACAAACAGATAGATAAATAAAACCAGGAAGGGGGGAACCCTAGTATCTGCTGATTACAAATGACCCTCAGGTTCCTGCCATCACAGACCTTTTGACAGGTGGAAGCCACAGGGTTTGTACCAGCTCAAAGGGGTTTCCTTTTCCCTTCTTTCTAAACCCTGACTTTGTTCCATTCATCTTACCTCCAGTCCACCAGCTCATCTCCAAAAGGATACCTTAGGCTTCCTCAAGTCAGCCCAAGTGACCAGATTCCCAGTTGCTCCCTCAGAGTTCCTGTCAGACCCTTGCTTAGGAGTTGGCTATCCACACACCATCAAGGGACCATCCCATTCAAGCAGCTGCAAACAGCTGGCTGTGTTTAGACTGAACTGGGACATAGCTCTGGAAAGGATTGGAGAGGCACTGTCTCCCGACTTTCACATGTTCTCCCCTACCTCAGGCTCCCTCTTCAGTACCAGGGGTTTCAGGAACTAGAGAATCCTGCAAGAATTTAGGGGAAAGGCCAAAATGTGATGAGTGCCTGGGCTATCTTCCCAAAGAGGTGTTCTAGAGTTAGGTGCCCTGGAGGTGGCTTTCTTCTTCCCATGGCAATGACCTAAAAGCACCAACAGCTTGCCAAGCAGTGTTCAGCTAAACCAACACATTCAGATCAATGAAATACACCCTTTTAGCTAATGGTCACTCAATTCAACATCATTCAAAAGCCTGTAAATTCACTCTAAAGCAGGGGTGGGAACCTTTTATCTGCCAAAGGCATTTGGATATTTATAACATCATTCGAGGGCCATACAAAATTATCAAACTTAAAAGTTAGCATGAAAAAAAGCTCCTAGATTTATTGAATTTCAAGTCATGTCTGTGGTTGCTTTGGCAGGGCCACACCAAATTATTTCCCGAGCCATATATGGCCTATAGGCCAGACTTTCCCTACCCCTGCTCTAGAGAGCCTTCCTCCACCACCATACACACTTCTGGAGCCTAAAAGAAAAGGTAGGGAGGAAAATTTCTTCCTTCTTTCTCTCACACTCTGGAACTGGTGCCTGTTAAGCTGCTTGAGGGGGCTGTGGGTGGGAGCCAAATGGTAACTTCAAAAAAGTTTGAAAACCATTATTTAAAGGCACAGAGACAGATTGTTCCCTGATTTATATGTGATAAAACTGATTATTTGTACATAACTGGGCTATTAAGAGTTTTGGATGGCAATTAATCCTTTATATTACACAGATTCTGAAACCCGAGCAAACAAGAAAGAAAAACGTAGAAATAATAATATAATAATCTATCGTCATTTAAACATAAAACAAAGCAGCAGGTTTGGTTTGTAATACATTTATAAACATTCATACGGCATTTATATCATCCTCTTGTTTTGCATAATGTGAAAGAGAAACAATTAAATGGTGTTTATGGAAATTTAAGTAGCAAAAGCCTAAGTGAAATGTCATGGAGCAGGCAAAGCACTGAGGGAAAAGGCCTGTTATAAAGGTTCTTACATGACCCAAAGCCCTTACGAAGTCCTTCGAGAGGTGTCCCAATTCCCTCATTATACTGCAGTATCATTGCATTGGGTACAATCAACACCACTGGTGAGTGTTCAGAACCTTATTGTTCAACAGCGCAAAATTTTCCATTTCAGTAAGATTTACTATGTCAAATTTTCTGTTTTTTGGAATAACTGAGATGTGAGACTGCTAAAAATGTATGTATAGAAAAAACAGCTCCATGCAGCTCAGAACCAAAAAATAGGGGCGGGGGGAGACTCCCTCTTTCATAGGTATTTTTAATATGCTAATGGTTCAAGTGTGGTAAAATTGGACTTTTTATAGGGATAGAGATTAGACTAAAATTGTTGTTATTGAAAGCTAATGTCACTTACCCAATATATATTTTTTAAGAAGTATTGCTTTTGTGTAAATTTCTAACCTGTGGTATGAAACAAGTTATGAAGTAAAGCCTCTTTTGTGTTTTTTGTTTGTTGTTAACCCAGTTTTGTTCTGGGGGGGGCAAGAAAAGCAGAAAAGCTTACTTAGCTTGGGTACTGGCTGTGTGTCCCAAAACTGGTATCTGTGCTTGGCAGCCTCACCGATGTTCCTGGCAGGGCCCTGGCATGCCGATAACAGCTCCATTGCTCTCTGGATGTCCTGCAACTTCTGCACCGGAATGGCAGGATTCTGCAACAGCAAAGACACACAGACACAGACTATAAGGAAGCTGCTGCTGCTCTAAAACGCAGGGCAGAGACACGTGCATCTGCCTCGGAGACTACAACACCGAAAAATGAACAGTCCTCCTCTAAACCTGGTCAGGGTCTTAGATCCATGTATGCTAACATATTAAAATACAAGCAAACATATTATGTTAAAGATAATCATAGCTCTACAGTTTTACTGGGGCTCTGATAGTTTGGGAAATCAAAAGTAAATCACACTACCCTCCATTTTAGTTTCCCGCCCATCTGCAAATGGTCTTGACCATTACTATCTGAGAGGAGCAGCAAAAAGGAGTGACATGCAATGTGTACATTACTGTCATGGCAGCCGGTCAGCCACTAGCCTTGGTTTCACTGTTAGGGTTAATGCTCTGCAACAGCAATGTGGGGACAAAGGAAATAACTTCTAGGATGGAAACTAGGCAGACAAGGGAAATTTTAGTTCATTAAGAAGAAGAAGAAGAAGAAAGAAATCTGAGTTTACTACTGAGCTGGGAAGGAAGTGAATCAGGAAAGGAACCCTCTAAGGATGCCTTCCTCCTGGACCATACCCTCCCCTAACTCTAATTCCCTTCCAGAAACAAAGCTTCCAACAAGGACCAGCAGTTTCCTCTAAGAATTCAAGTCATGGACAATCCTAGCCCATTCTCCCCAACCCAAGTACTCAAAACTAAACTCCTTTTTTAAGTAAAACATATTCTCAGTCTACAAAATTGACAATACCTTTAAATTCTAAAGTTCCTTCCTCAAAGCCAATATTTCTGTCATCTGAAGATTCCCCAGCTCTTTTTTGGAAAATCCCTCAAATAATGTCATACTGCATGGAACATGAAACTATTCTGGAAATGAGAGTACAAATAGTATGTAGAACTGAATATGGATATTTTTTCAATATGCAAAATTATTGATTAGTTTTAGAATTCTGATACTATCCAAAGAATGCTTGCTCTCCACTGCAGTTCAGAAGTGGTTAGAAAGAATTTCAGAGCCCTTAGGTTTCCTGTATGTCAACACACCAAGGAAAGGGACCACTGACCCTCAATGGTTTATAAGCAGCAGCTCTGAACTTCTGCTCAACTTTGACCCTCATGTGTATGGTCTGGAACAATTCCTTTAACTTTGAAATTTAACAAGCAAATCTTTTTACTTCTTTGACCAGGTACAAAATGGGGTTTATTTAATACAGACTGTCCTGTGGTTGCTTTCTTCATTGGGTTCCCTTAAGATGCATGCCACTAAAATGATTCAAGGAAACAAAGTGCTGGAATCTAACCAGAGATGAGTTAAAGTCTTAACATCTCCCCTGGAAAGCGTAACACCATCACCCAGGACTGTCATGAGTTTTGGAAGCTCTTTATCGTATATTTTTTATTAAAGTCTAAATCATAAGGGACATATCTCAGTTACACATACTAATTTAACAAAATACTTCTGCTGTTCTAAAAAGGCTAAATATCTCATTTGCATCTCTTCTGACCTGCCAACATAAAAGTAGCTGTGAAATTTACATCCAATTGACCCCCAACAATACAACCTGTTAGGAGACCTATGCCTCAAATACGAACTAAGAACACAGCATATTCCAGCTAAGAACACTTGAACATGCATCCCTTTTATCTTCAAAAAAGCAAAGCAGAACCCACTCTTACAGAATACACCTACAGTGTTTGCACTGAATTTGTCATGGTAATTCTTCTTCCTTGATATGAGTCAAATCCCCTAACACTAATGTAGCAACCTCAAACTATTTAGTAACAAACATGAGTTGGCATCCTTGTGCCAAAGGAACCAGTGATATCCCAATTCCCTGAAGAGGCACTCAGAGTGCTATCTACTCAGCCAAATTAGCCTCCACGGGTTGACCAGTAGTGCTTACATGAAATCACCACTTATGAATTTGTATCCCACTGGGATTAATTTATATCCCAATAGAATATGATTAATTTCAATGCTTTCGTAAAGTAGATTCAAGTAAGCACAATTTTCAAATTCATAGTGACAAAACAGTAAAAAACTCAGCTATGATAAATTCTTAAGCCTGTCCATCCACCTTCAGTAGCAGCACCACCTGGGGAGGAATGAATGAGTGTTAGGGAAGAGGAGAATATATACCAACCCGCATTAGCTTGCCACTATATGGCAAGAGTCAGGCAAGCCTCTTTTCCTCCATATCTGCTCCTGTGATATAAGTACATCAACCATTCTCTTTACCAATTATTTTCCAAATTTAATACTTTGGAAGTCTACAAGAATTCAGACAGATATTTCATTCTGGTTCTTGAGTGTACACCAGATTATTCTCTAACCAGAGTCTACTATAACTTACGATGTTATCTAGAGCTGGCATCAGCTTAAAAGAAATGAACCTAAGTTTTAAAAAATGCTATGGAGAATAGAGCCCACATTAAAATAATTTGAACTTATTCTTAATTTTAAAAAGAATTTTTCTACCCTATAATGCTAACACTTCCTCCAGCCTTGACTAGCTCTAGTTTCTTATAAGTGACCAGAAACAGAGGGAGGGCTCAAAATCACTAGGGTACAGAGATGGTGGAAGCTGATGGTAGTGACAGAAGCAATAAGGAAATGGTCACAACTGCAAATATGTGATGCCGCATTTATCTGATAAAGCAATGTTTAGAAACGAAAAAAAAAAATCTTGCAAGCCTATGGTGTACCTTATATGAGTTACCTTGGAAATTATGTCCGGTGGATAGAATATTTATTACCTGAGAACCAAGGTGAAAAGCTAGGGAGGAGGACTCCATTTTCTTCTTACCCCACAAAGGCAGTCAGGGGGGAATTGGGGCAAATAATTTTCCTTCTCAGTGATTCCTGGTCCTTAAGTGTAAAACAGGCAACAACAACAAAACTACCTGCAAGATTCATTTCATGTAATGTAATGCAAACTGTACAAGGAAAAAAATTTTAACCCGATGAAACTTGCATAATGGTTATAACTGCCATGTAGACAGAGTGCTTTATAATATAAAAACCATTTAATAAAAATGATCTAATTGTAACCTCATAGCAACCCTGTAAGTTGGGAAGAAGTCATTGTCCCCATTTTGCAGATGAGGAAATGGACTTAAGGAGGGGCAGAACCCTGTGCAAAGGCCAAGCTCGAGAGCCGCAGGCCAGGAATGAGCCCGGGTTCCCCATCCCACCTCCTGAGCCTTTCCCATTACACATACTACAAGCATCAAAATAACTCCATTTCATTATATTTCCAATTCTACCTCTTTTCTCTGTGAGTTTCTTCCATCAAGAAGGCTCTGTGCTTCTCTGGGCCCAGCACACAAGGCCTGTGTTCACAGCTAGGGTGACTGGGATTGGCCCTACAGAAAGGGGCACCTGCCATCTGCACCACCGGATATACCAATCTGCCAACACAGTGCCTAGCCAGATAACTTCTGGTTTGGTGTAAATGGGTGTTTCTTCAGGGGAAACATTAGAAGCTATTTCCCACCCTTGGCAATGGAATTAAGAATGGCCACTGAAGACTGGTCTGATTCAAAGTCAACGTAAGACTTACCCGTGGCTGCTCCCGCTGAAATCTGCTGCCAGATGGTGTTGTGCTATTCAGATAATTAGACAGACACCCAGAAAAATTAAAATGTGAATATCTTCTGAACTAATAGTCATCAAATATTAAGTGTAACTTAAAAAAACATACAACCTAATAGCTCACATTGAGACTCTGTTCTATGGTTACAATCTATATACCAATTTGCTGAGAAATATGCAGGCGGTATCCTAGTACCCACAAAAGCACAGTATGTCCCTCTTTGCTATCTGGGTGCTGACATCAGATTTAAGAAGGCTGTGAGTACCCTCTGGTTACTATCAGTACAGTCACAACAAAACCCTAACTACACCTCTGATCCAACAGGGTGCTGAGCTGCACAGACCTGCTCTCACATGCTTGAGCAACCACACAGATTAAAATAAAACAAGACTCTCACTTTTGAAGGCTGCTGAATCTTAATCTCCTGGGAATCAGATGCAGAGTCTGACTTGGTGCCTCCGGAATTTGGCTTCTCCTTTTTTCTCTTCTGTTTCTTCTTTTTCTTTTTGGCACCCAAGTCCCCTCTGGGACTTCTGTTAGGAAATTCACAGAGGGTAAAACAACAACAAATCATTATATAAAATTAATCATTTAGAACAACACAAGTCATACACAGGAAAAAACTATGTTAGGGTCTATGATATTGTGATTTATAAGAAACACACACACACACACACACATATATATATATATGTATGTATTTTGATCATACAGATGACCAAATATATATTTCTCATATACATATGGTTTTTGTTGATGGTTCCTGGCTCACAGCTCCTAAAACCCTTGGAATTTCCTAAGTAATGAGAGCTTAAAGATGTCTATGTTAAAAAGGTGACTTTTTGAAAGCACCTAAGGGCTGGCTGCCAGTAGAGTCAACCATATGATTAGATGGTTGGAATTTTCAGTGCCAACCCCCAACCTCCGGGGATGAGAGAGGGCCAGGAGAATGGCCGATGATTTAATCAGGCATACCTATGTAATGAAATGTTCATAAAAACTCTTAAGGACAGGGTTCAGAGAGCTTCCAGGTTGGTAGAGGTGCTGGGAGGGTGGTGTGCCTGGAGAGAAAATGGAAGCTCATGCCCTTCCCCATGCCTTACCCTATGCATCTCTTCCATCTGGATGTTCCTGAGTTATATCATTTTATAACAAACCAGTGGCCCGGTAAGTAAAATGCTTCCTGAGTTGTGTGAACCACTCTAGCAAATTAACCAAACTCAAGGAGGATGCCTTGGGAACCTCTAATTTATAGCTTCTCTGTCAGAAGCACATGTAAAAACCTGGACATGTGACTTGTGCCTGAAAATGGGGACAGTTGTGGGGGCAGTCTTGTAGGACTGAGCCCTTAACCTGTGGGATCTGAGGCTGTCTCTGGACAGACAGTGTTAGAATTGAGCTGAATTCTTGGATACTCTGCTAGTGTCTGAGAATTGCTTGGTGTTGTGTGGGAATGTTCCCTACCACGCACACATGTCGGAACTGAGTCTGGGAACCCAAAACAGGATATAAGTGGGAAATAAAATTTAGTCAGACTAGGAAGTTAACAGGACAAGTAACTCAGAATAATATTAGTCTCCACTCCGTCATTATACAGGATGCTTAGATGTCATTCCAGCAGGAAAACTGTAGACATAAACCATATTTTATAACAGAAGTAAAATAGCTTTCACAGCTATAACTGCGTGACTAATCTACTTCCTAGTTAGCTTTTTAAATTGATCTTTTTTAAAGGTTTTTTAAATTGGTTTTTAGAGACAGCAAAGGAGAGGAAGAGAAAGAGAAAAACATTGATGTGAGAGAGAAACATATATCAGCTGCCTCCTGCATGCCTCCCCCACCGAGCATCCAGCCCAAAACCCAGCATATGCCCCAATTGGGAATCAAACCGGCAACCCTTTGGTGCACAGGACAATTCCCAACTAACTGAACCACACCAGCCAGAGAACTGCAGCTTTTTAAAGGGAGAGATACATGTTGCAAAATATTCCATTATAAAGATCTCTTAGGTACAACAAACCACTAATCATGACACAAACAGAACAAAAGAAACTGCTTCTTTGAAGAGGGGGAAATTTTTCTTGATAAAAATTTTTATAAAAGGATTAATAATTTAAAAACTCTACATGAAAACATTCATTGATAAAACACTTCTGGTTTGGAACTCTTGTCATCTTTTGGCTGTCATCTTCTAAAGAGCAAAAGAAACATAAGAAGATTTAAAATTTCCATTTATTTGGGCCTATCCTTAACCTATTCTCAGAAGGTAAATCAAAGTTTAGAGTTAGAGATTATTATTGCACTTTTGGCTGATGCAGGAAAAAGTGAATGAAATAATCAGTTCCATTCCAGTGTTCTTAATTAGCTCTATGCATCTTCATCCATTGTCTTTCTTGAATTATTACTTAATTGCAAAACATATATTTACCATAGAAGACACAAATGTCATTAATATATTAACATCCTTTTTGTAACATTGTCCCTTAAAGACAACCAATAGTTTTTCTGGTATATATTCTTCCAAAATTGTCTTTCTTCTCTAAGCATGCCTTCATTTTTACTATGAGTAAGTTTTAAACAAAAATTGAATCTTAAACATACCATTATGAAACTTCCTTTTTTCTCCTTCCCCTTCACAATATGTCTTGGACTTCTTTCTACATCAGGATATACTGAACTACCTCCTTTCTTTTTAGTAATTGGATAGCATTCCATTGTGTAAATATATCATATTTCATTCCTATATTAAAAATGCTGCTGCCAAAAAATATTCTAGTACTTACATTTTTGTTCATTCATGCTAGTGTGTCCAAAAGTGGAAATGCTAGGGTCAAGGAGCATGCACAGTTTTAGTTTCAGTAGATAATTAAGACTGCTTTAATAAATACTGTATTGATTTCCACTCCATCAATAGTAAATCGGACAGTTTCTGGTTCTGCATGTAAGCAGCTTGGAAGTCATCACTCTATCCTAACACACTGAAAAATCAACAATTCTTCTTAATCAGTAAAAGAGCTGAGGACATGGGGCAAACTGCTGTCCCCAAGACTGGGAAGAGAGAGAGGTGAATACAAGTCCCAGTTTCCAGGAACAGAGACTCACCATCTGAAACCACCACAGAACATCACCCAGGTAGGAAAACCTCATCTGAAACTGACCAAGTGCCAGAGGCTACGTGTGGACAAGTCTGAGAGTTAAAACCTCCATGGGACCCAGTCCTAGGGCTCTCTCACACTTCTGTGAGTTTTTACCTCCAGGAGCGCAAGCAGATTCCCACAATAAATATTGGAGGAAAGTCCCCTCATGCTTCCACCAGGAGGAGGGAAAAAGAAACCATCTTGAAATACCCAGAGCACACTGTTCTTCCTAACAAGGTCTGCCCTCAGGAGAAACTAGTCAACAACAGCAGATTATCAGAGCCTAACTGACCTGGGGAAGGGAAATAGCCAACTCCAGCCCACACCAGCCATTCTATGCCAACTAAGGAGGCTGGAGAAAACTGAGAAATGCTTGTGAGTTCACAGTCCAGGGACACAAGTTCACTAAACATTGGGACCTGATTATAGAACTATAGACTACTTCCCCTCCCCCCAGACCTCACCACCACTAAAAAACTATTTACATTACAGTAGTTCCTTTTAACCAGTAGATCATGTCCAGCTAACAAGCAAAGATTACAAGGGATACTAAAAGACCAAAAACATAATTGGAAAAGACAGAGCAAGCATAAGAACCAGACATGGCAAGGATGTTGAAATTATCAAACCGGGAATTTAAAATATCTATGATTAATATGCTAAGGGCCCACATGGACAAGGTAGAAAGCATAAAAGAATAGATGGGTAAGGTTAACACAGATGGAAAGTCTAAGAAAGAAGCAAAGAGAAACGCTAGAGATCAAACACACTGTAATCAAAATGAAGGATACTTTTGATGGGCTTGTTAGCAGACTGGGCACAGCTCAGGAAAGAATCTCTGAGTTAGAGGGTAGAGCAATGGAGACCTTCATAGACCTCCCAAACTGAAAAATAAAGCGAACAAGGGCTGAAAAAACAGAACTGGACATCCAAGGACTGTGGGACATCTACAAAAGGTGTAACATACACATACTGGTAACACCCGAAGGAAAAGAGGGAGAGAAGGAACAGAAGAAATATTTGAAGCAGTAATAACTGAGAATTTCCCCAAATTAATGTTAAACAACAAACCATGGATCTAAGAAACTCAGAGAACACCAAACAGGATAAATGCCAGGGTAAAAAACACATCAACCAAAAATAAAAAAACAAACCTACACCTAGGCATATAATTTGAGATTACAAAAAAAAATCAGAGATTAAAAAAAAAATCCTGAAATAAGCCAGAGAGGAAACTAGAGGGGGTTAAAAAACACCTTATCTATAAAGGAACAAAGAACAGTAAATAAGAATGTCAAT